TTAATGATCCCCCATGGTATGCCCCCCTCCCTCCAACCCCCCACTGCTATGATGTAGATGATCCTTCCCTCCGTGTTGCTTGCATTTTTGTTTTTTTTCCATCTAGCATCGTTGGCTTTGTGTTATTCATGAATTATTTCCAAACATGTTTCTTTCTCACACAGACTGAAAGGCCAAACATAAAATCTAATACTCTCTTTTCCTTATACTGACTGTCAAGATGCATACTAGACTCTTAACAAGTATATTCTTGAGAAAATGAAATCAAAGCTAAAATAAACCTATGGTTTCTCAACATGAGTAAACAATTATTTTATTTATTATGGAGAATATAAACTAGCTCCTCATAAATATTTACTGTTAACATGTTTAGAAAACCTTATTTATTTTTTGGACTAATGTCTTATTCAGTTAATGAGATGTATTTTTATAAAAGTAGTGCTTTAAAAATCATTTTCTAATTACTAATCAAGTCAGAAATGCTTAGAAAAGTCAGGGCAGTTGATTTGAAATGCTCCTTTTAATATTATGCCTAGGTGTTCATAAATGGAGCATACATACAAAATGTACAAAAATCTATTGTTTCGATCCTATATTTCTTGACAGAATTTCAAATTAAAATGGTGCTCACATGACCAATGAAATCTATCACAACTATCTGGGGAATAATGTCTTGAAGAGCTTTTTCTTTTATTCCTTCTTATTTTAAAAGTATCTTAGAAGTAGAAAGGACAACATCATTTTTAGTTTGTTGAGAACTTCAAATATCTAGTCCCCAGAAGCAAGATTCATCATGTGGAGTATCTAAGGCCTAACCGAGTGTTCAAAATAGTGCCCACATATACCGTACTTGTTGAACAAATTCAGATTTATTGAAAGTAAACATTTACATTGGCTACAATTTTAGAACTATTACAAAGCTGGATAAAAGAGGCTTAAGTAGCAATAGAAAGCAAGTGCAATAAAAAGTGAATAGTGAAAATATTTGGCCTTAGTGATCTCTTGGCAGTATTTACATTATGTACATATTGTTAAATATTTATAATAACTCTAAGGCACCAAAGGCTAAATAGCAGGTTGCAATACTATTTTGTGCACAAAAGTCAAAAAATTTATTGTAAAGAAGGCTGTATAGTTAAAGAAACATAGGCATATCTTAATGTTTACATAAAGGAGTGGCTGCATATTTTAAAATCTCAAATGATACATTAAATATTGGGCAAATTGAAGAAATTATTTTTAGAACATTAAATTATGTTGACTATGTAAATAAGCACTATTTTTTACTGACTTGCAGGTAAATGTGTAATGCAATCTATTCTTCAACACAGCTTTTTCACACTCATGGATATGTTTTGTCTAAAAACTACTTGAAATTCTTTTGACCTACAAAAACTTATCCTAATATATCATAGTGTATACAAAATCCCCAAGAAAAACTTACTGGGTAATAATATACATCAAATTTATATATAATCTGACAAAAATTTAGCAGGCATTTGATGCCAAAATACTTGAATTTTCAGTCTGCCATTCTAGCATAGTAGTTGGATATTTTAATCCTTTATGACTGTTTAGGGTGGACAATTGTTTGTGGCTTTAGGTGAATGGACATAAAATTGGCCTATGTAGCAAACCAATCTTAAAGGGAACTAATTGTTTTCAATTTTGCAATGTGAAACCCTTTCACAAAACTCACTGGGTGTTAACTGTGTCATTCATCACCAGTGATTGAAATATCCATATTACTGTATTGTCAGAGGTAAATGACAATATCTATGTCCAGCACAGTCTTGACCATTGAAAAATTTGATGACTTCTATTTGTAAAATTTTGTTCCTTATACTGGAAACCCAATTTACCTAACATACAATCTGTCATTTGTCTTGAGGTAGTATTATAATGAATTCAGCAAGACAATAGAGTAACACCATATTTTAAAAATGTGTTTCAAGTGCCACCATACATTTAGTCGGGAGATGGTCTAAGGTTGAGTGGCCTTTCAGACATATTAAATTACTATCTGATGAAGTCATCCAGACTTTAACAAGGATGATAAATTTTTCCTTAAAACTTTCTGAAACCCCATGCCCTAAGGCAAGTTATGGTATTATGGTATAAAGTACTGCTAAAATATTTTCAATGATATTAAAGATTTATAGGCTTGCATATTAAAGGCTTCCTTTCTTTTAGTGAAGGGGAGAATAACAGGATTTCTTTTCTAAACTCTTAAATTTTTCAATGAGAAATATTCAGAGCATTAGCAATAGCTTGGGCTGGTTTCTTATATCACATAGTATTTGACAGTAAGAGCTTACTACCTTATATGTAAATTTTATGCTCATAGTTAAATTTTAAATTCAAAAACCACCTTCGAATCCAACATTTGACTGATATTTGCTGAGCAACAAAATAAAAAATCATTTCAACATAAAGTAATCTAAGGCACCACAAAAGTACCTTACTGTGATGTATTCTATAACACTAGCTTATAAGTATATTATCACTTTTTTCTCTTCTCATATGGTCAATTATTTTTTTCTCTCTGTTTTTAATACAGTGGACAATGAAAGAGGACAAATTTCTCATAGTGAAATGTTTACAAAATCAGTAATGCCAGAAA